GGTTTCAACTACCACACACCAGCCTCCCACCCCCCAAACTACACCAAGCGCTCAGAGTGTGGACCTCTGGAGCCATAGCTCGCAACCACTTATTCCAAGGTATGTTTTAATTTGGTCTGTTTTTCAATGTGTCATTTTTGAATTTATGCTTTCAGGAGCGAAGCAATTTATTAAGAAAATGGTATGACTTAATGCTGAAGAACAAAGATGAGCTTGCAAGACTAATTACTGCAGAAAATGTGAGTAAGACATCAATATCTAACTAACTGAAAATATATTGACCTTTGATATGCTCCTCACTGTCATTTAATTCCTTGTTAAACTTTATCAAACAAAATTAATCTGGAAAAATAATATGTTTTTCTAACAGTAAAGATGAACAGGATGAACGGAAACACTTAAAATATTCAAACTATGTTAATTTGAGGGTACAATATTCATAAATATTGTGAAAACCTGTATCCTAGAAGTAAAAGCAGTAAAACTGGAGTGGTTGAAATGCTGGCCACCAATTAGGAAGAATTGGTAGTGATCTGGCTGACATTGGCTGCAAAGCAGTAGACACATTATTGTTTGGAAATGGTTGTTGCTGGTTGCAGTGTGTGCTATCTTTGCCTTGCCAGCTACCGTGCTTTGCTGTCATTTATGTTGCCTATAACTATTTGCCACTCACTCCCACTGACTTCCTTCATGGTAGATGACAAGTGATCAGAACCTCTTAATCTATTCGTCCTTCTACTTACTCCTGCAAGCATAATGTTCAATTCTGTCACCTCAAAGAAGCTTTGTTTCTTTTCAAAATCCCTTATTGTTTATTTCTTTTTAATGACAAATAATAGAAACTTAAAAAGGTTTTCCATTTGCCTTCCTTTGACAGTGCCTCAGTAATTGAAAATTTACGTAGCACTCAGGTGGAAAGCATTCAAAACTTTGCGCTTGAAATAAAATTGAAATTGGAATTCTGTTTAAGAAAGAGCTTCATATGTTCCCTGAGATTTATACAAAGTTAAATCATAAAATTTAAGAGGTCCACAATTAGTAATTGTCATTTCTTGATTTATTGTCATGAGTACTGAAGTACAGTGAAAAGCTTTGTTTACAACCAGTACAAGCAGATCATATTAAGCAAGGATGTACAGATCAAAAAGACTTAGACAGAGGCATACAGGTTACATTGCACAGGGCGAGTGCGAGGCGAGATCAACGTTAGCAAGATCAGCATTACTTGATGCTAGAGAGTCCATTCATCAGACTAATAATGGGTGGGAAGAAGCTGTTCCTGAACCTGCTGGTGCGTGTGTTCAGGCTTCTGTATCTTCTGCCTGACAGAGGAGGTTGTAGGAGATCATTACCAGGGTCCGATGGGTCTTTGATGATGTTGGCCGCCTTTCTGTGGCAGCGACTCATGTAAATGGAGTCCCTGGATGGAAGGTTGGCTTCTGTGATGTTCTGGGCTGTGTACACCGCCTTCTGTAGTTTCTTACGGTCCTGGGCAGAGCAGTTGCCATTCCAGGCCATTACCTGGACAGTATGCCTTCAATGGTGCATCTTAGCTGCCTGAGGAAGGGCTTGTTGTGCCGACTTGACCATCACATCTATGTGGGGACGTCCAGAACAGGTTGTTGGTTATTGTCACTCCAAGGACCTTGACGCTGTCCCACCTCTGGACCTCAGTTCCATTGATGTAGATGGGGTCGTGTTCTCCTCCTTTCTTTCTGAAGTCAATAACCAGTTCTTTAGTCTTGCCAATGTTGAGAGAGAGGTTGTTCTCATTGCACCACGTCATCAAGCCCTCTATTTTCCTTCTGTATTTTGACTCGTCGTTGTTAGATATCTGTCCCAGTAAGGTGGTGTCATCAGTGAACTTGTAGATGGCGTTTGGAATTTGGCAACACAGTTGTAAGTGTACAGGGAGTACAGTAGGGGGCTGAGGACGTATCCTTGTTGGGGGTGGGGGTGTGCTGCAGTGTTGAGTGTTATTGTGGAGAAGGTAGTCACCTATCTTCACTGATTGAGGTCTGTGGGTCAGAAAGCTGAGGATCCACTTGCAGAAGACAGAGCCAAGACCAAGGTTACGGAGTTTTGAGATCAGTCTGGAGGGGATAATGGTGTTGAAGGCAGAACTGTAGTCAATGAGCAGGAGTCTGACGTAGGTGTCTTTGTTGTCTAGATGTTCCAGGGATGAGTGCAGGGCTAGGGATATGGCATCCTCTGTCAACCTGTTACGTCAGTAGGCAAACTGTAGGGGATCGAGGCTTGTATATAGAACCTCAAGTTTTTTTAAAAGGCTGGAGGAAAAACATTTTTTAAAGTTATTTAATTCTATGACTAAAATGTTTGCAGTGTGTTACTTCTGGGCATAAGGTATAATTGCTAACCATCCTTGACATTTGGGTGAGGTTGTACTCTCGTTCTCTTTTTAAAGTTTAACTGTTATTAAGGAAAGGCAAGTTTTATATTCACTCATTTCAGTGTAATTTTTATTTTTTCCTGGAACTCTACAGATTGGAATGTATTAGTGAGCTTCAGTTTGCTGCTTAGAAGTGCAGTATAATTTGCAGCCCTTTTATGTTAGAATCAGTGAGGTGATTTAGCCTCCAGTTCACAGAGCATAGATGCCACTCACCTTTTTGTTTTATTGATTCAAGGAATGTGAGCGTTACTAACAAGGTTAATCTTTGCAGCCCATCCTAATTGCTGTAGATTGGTGAGCTGCCTTCTTGAACTCATTTATTAGGTGATACAGTTAGGTAATAACAATACTTTCTGTATTTTTGTTGCCAAAAGGAGTATTTGGATTTGCAAAGAATCAGAATTTGAAGAATTAGTCAATATCCCCAATTATCAACCCTGCATTAAACTCCAAGCCACAACATGCAGGGAGAGCATTAATTTTCTAGACACCATGGTATTTAAATTGACTTAAGACATAAATTAGAAACAAAAGTTGTTCAAAATAATTGATGCACTTCTACAAACTGCCATTGCCCTAAGCACAATGGACCAAGCACAGGCTGGCAAGGCCACAACTAATGCATTTCCAACTCCTCTCAAAAGCTGGAATGTTTACTCAGGCCGTTTCTGCCCTTTTTACTGCTTTTCAGAGACCAATCCAAAATTTTTGACCATGTTTATAACAATGGCATCTACTACATTTTCTCCCTTGTGCAACTTTTAAGCTGGAGGTTCCACATTTTATTTAATTGTTTAATGAGAAATTCATTACCTAGTGATTTAAAGGTTTCTCGGCTCAGAGTAAGCTGAATATTCCCTTGTTGGCAGGTTTCAAAGTGGTTCCCTCTCCTTTGCAGCCTGACCCTCTACAGTCTTGTCTTCTCTTCCGCCCTGCACCCCCAACCCACCAACATCGTGCTGTCTCCATCTCCTCTCTCACTCCCAACACCTCTTGAGGCTTCCATTTCTCCCCACCTCTTCCAATCTCTATCTCGTACCTATATCCTGCACTGTTTATATTCTGTCTTCCTCCTGCTGTGCCCATTTCTCATAGCCTCCATTTCATCCCCACACCCTCACCACCACATGCAGCCTCCACCTTCCCTTGCAACCTCCATTTCTCACCCATGTCTCGTTGCACTCCATTTTCACTACCCCCTTCTCCCCAAGTCCACATCTTGCAGCCTCATCATCTCATCCCACCCCACCTCTTAACGACCTACATATTAACACCATCCTCTTATGTGACCTCTATCTTCTGTCCCACTCCTTGTGGCTGCCATCATCTTCTCTCTCTTATCTGGTCAGACCTTCATCTTTACCCACCCACTCATTGCAGCCTTCTTTACTCACCATTGCTTCCCCCACCACCTCTTAGGTTGCTTCCTTCTCCCAAGATACAGTACAGCAATTCATAAAGGCAGCTCTGACAGCTCCTTTTAAACCTGTGGACTCTACCACAGAACAATTGCAGCAGGGAAAACCAGCACTGCGTCTGCTCCTCCAAGATACATTCCTGGATTGCTGGCTCAGAATTCCCTATCTACTAGCGATGGGTGCACCTGCACCACAGGAACTACAGAGGTTCGAGGAAGTGGTATACCATTAGCTTCTCTAGGACACTTGGGGATGGGCAATAAATGCTGATACTCCTATGCCCTGAATAAAGAAAAGCAACTGACAGTAATAATATGAAAAAGGACTGTGAGAGTATGTGCTCATTACCAGAAAAAAATGCACCTATGCTAATTGGCTATAGTTTGACTTGAACTGTACCTCGAGGGGAGGGTGAGTTGTGGTTGGGTGAATTTACAAAGTGTACAGGGGTCCCAGTGGATTTGAACTCCGTGTGGTGTCTGATCAGAACAGTGAAATCTCCACCAGAGATTAACCACCCAGATGACGCTGTACCTTTCTCAAGATTATCCCTGAATTTGGGTTTATACTGCCAGGTTTTCATTTGTATTAAGTCCAAATTACTTTGCATTGATAATAAAAAGTACCACCCAAATATTTTTTGCGTATGTTACGGAGTACAATGTCAGAGAAGTTTTGATGTATCATTCTTAATATGTCATTGACTTATTTAGTTTTATCTTTGTCTTAAATTGGTTCAGGAATCATATTATAATGCTGCATATTGGCTAGATTTATTGCTTTCAATCTAAGCAGAAGTCTTCTTCCATATGGATATGGATATGGCTATGTGCTCTGTGTTCAATAGGATAAATGAGAATGCTTTACAGTTGTTTCTCCATTCTTTCCATAGTAATTCTAACACTTGGCAAATTATTCTCTCTAGGGTAAACCACTGAAGGAAGCCTTAGGTGAAACATTGTATGCTGCATCATTCCTGGAGTGGTTTTCAGAAGAAGCTCGTCGAGTGTATGGAGATGTTGTTCCTACTTCTTTCCCTGACCGTAGGATCCTAATTCTGAAGCAGCCAATAGGAGTAGCAGCTATTATAACTCCTGTGAGTACAACACATCAAACTGTATATCATTAGTGTTACATCGTTGAAGCCTTTGTTGATGATGAATATGTGCATGAGAGTGACACTCTGGTTAGCACTGCTGCCTCACAGCTCCAGGGACCCGGGTTCAATTCCAGCCTCTGGCAACTGTGTGGGGTTTGCACTTTCTCCCTGTGTCTGTGTGGGTTTCCTCCCACGGTCCAAAGATGTGCAGGTTAGGTGGATTGGCTTAAGAAAAAAATGTCCCATAGTGTCCAGGGATGTGCAGGTTATGTGGGTTATCCATGGTAAAAGCCCCATGTGGGGTTATGGGATGGGATGTGGGTCTAGGTGAGGTACTCTTCGGAAGGACAATGCAGACTTTATGGACCAAATGGCCTCTTTCTGCACTGCAGGGATTCTATGATTCTATTATATTTACCATTTATTAGGATCCAATTTCCCTGAAATATACTGCAAATTGCACACAATGTGTATGTTGTAGCTGAATTAAATTAATACCATGCTACTATTGGGTCAGTTATGTAAAACCCCTGATAGATTATAATTCTGGTATATACTACTGTAGCAGTAGGATGATTTATTATTAATCAATGCTCTAATGAACATTGTCCTGGGACTGACAAACATTAATTCTGGATGCTGTGAGTTTACGTCGACATTGTGATTCTGCTAGTGGTGGCTTGACTTTGATGGAGATTTTACTGAATAAGAAATAAAAACCGCAGGAACTGCGGATGCTGTAAATCAGGAACAAAAACAGAAGTTGCTGGAAAAGCTCAGCAGGCCTGGCAGCATCTGTGAAAGAAAAATCAGTGTTAACGTTTCGGGTCCGGTGACCCTCCTCAGACGCTGAGAAAGGGTCACTGGACCCGAAACGTTAACTCTGATTTTTCCTTACTGAATAAGAAGTTTGGTGGGTTCAAGTCCTAATTTAAAGACTTGAGCACCGAATTGGCTCCCACAGTAATGATGAAGGGCCGCATCAACATGAGTGCTGTCATCTCGACAAGAGCCCAAACAAAGCTGCTTCTGCCACAATTTTTCAAAGAAAAGCGGGCAATGTTAAATGAAAAGCAAACATTTTAAATTGTAGGCGTTTAGCTAAGGAAAGTGTTGGACCTATTGTATGTAACAATGGGAAATTTTCATGCAGATAGAGAGGACATAGCTAAAGCATTAAGTTAATACTTTGCATCTGTTGTTACAAAGGAAGTGGAAAATGCACGGTTGCTGTCTAGAAGAGAAAAATGTCAGACAGTATAGTAATAGAGAAGCTGTACTGAAGCATTTATCTGGTCTAATGGTATGAATCCTTGGTTGTCTGAAGATTCAGAGTAGAAATAATAGATGCATTTACTACATCTTTCAATTCTCATTGAATATAACAGTAGGACTTTGAGGAATGAAAGAATTCTAATCTTGTACCATTACTCAAGAGGGATACATCACAAAACTTCAGACCAGCTCACCAAACACTGGTATCGGGAAAGTTATTAAATATAAATATTATGGCCAAAATAAACTGTAGTTGAGAAAAATACAGGCTTAACAAGGAAAGGCAGCACATATTTGTTGCAGGCAAATCATGTACGAGTGGCTTGACTTAATCATTTGAGACAATAATGTTGATCAAAGTATTTTTGAAATTGTTTCTATAGATTTTCACAATGGTTTTAGCAAATTGACCCACGGAAGGCTTTTTTTTGAAAAAGACTGAAGCCTTTGGAATTAAGGAATCAGTGCTGATTTGTTCCTGGAAATGGCTCAGTGATGGGAAGTAGAGGATGTTGGTGGATGGATACATGGCATGATACTCCTCTCCCTCCCCCTCCTCCTCCACCCCCACCCCAAGGCAATTACTACCCATGTGACTGCATCACAGACATCAATCTTAATTTCAAATATAACAACTAACAATAGCACTAACTGGAAAAGCACAGCAGGCTAGAAGATGGGAGCAGAGTAGGACACGCCGTTCGGAGCTCCTCTGCTTGCCAGTCCCTTTACCATTTTTCCCTCCTTTTATTTTCTTTCCTCCTCTGTGTGGTTTTCCCTACACACCCATCCACCCATTAAGAGTGTAGTTGTGGAGAGGGCACGGGCCGAGTCCCGCGGGGGATGGGAGAGAGAGAGCATGGGGCCGAGTCCCGTGGGGGATGGGAGAGAGAGAGCATGGGGCCGAGTCCCGCGGGGGATGGGAGAGAGCGAGCACGGGGCCAAGTCCCGCGGGGGATGGGAGAGAGCGAGCACGGGGCAGAGACCCGCAGGGGACAGACAGAGAGAGAGAGAGCATGGGGCCGAGTCCCGCGGGGAACAGAGAGAGTGAGCGTGGGGCTGAGTCCCGCGAGGGGCAGAGAGAGAGAGAGCATAGGACCGAGTCCCGCAGGGGACAGAGAGAGAGGGCACGGGGTCAAGTCCCGCGGGGAATGAGAGACAGAGCATGGGGCTGAGTCCCGCAGCGGAACCAGCATGGGCAGCATGGCCTTGTGCTCTGGGTCCTGCAGGCAGAACACTGTGAGCAGTGAGCCCCGGGGCAGTGCGTGGACTGTGTGAGCGCGGGGCAGCGAGTCTGGACAGAGACCGGTGTGAGGGGATAATCCTTACCATAGAACGTACCTTAGAATACTGTAATGTTAACCCCTTAATATTTTCCTATTTTTAACTTATTTTGAACTCTGTAATTAGGCAACTACTTTTATTCCTCTGCTGTATCCAAGAATTGTACGTAGGACAGACATTGTAAAAGTTGCTCACTGTAATCCTACAATGGAGTACACATGACAATAAAAGGATATTGTAAATTGTGAATAGGTCAGACACCATCCGAGGAGCAGGTAGGTCAATATTTTGGGCTGAAACCCTTCATCAGGACTAGGGAGTGGGTGGGGAGTCCAGAAATAGGGTCTGGGGGAAGGGTAGGAGAGATGGTGATAGGTGGATGCACGTGGGGGTTATTGTGATTGGATTGTGGGAAGGGTGGAGCGGATAGGTGAGTAGGAAAATGGGCAGGTTAGGTTAGGTCGGTGGGGGGTGGTGGCGATGGGGTGCTGGACATGGGATAAGGCTGGGGGTGGAGGGATTTTGAGCTAGTGAAGTCAATGCTAAGGCCATTGGGCTGTAAGCTCCCAAGGTGAAATATCAGATGTTGTTCCTGTAGTTTACATTTGGCCTCACTCTGACAGTAGAGGAGGCCGAAGATGGACCTGTCACCAAGAAAATGGGAGGGGGAATTAAAGTCGATGGCAATTGGATGTTCGGGTTGGTTGGTGCATGCAGAGTGCAGGTACACTGTAAACCAGGTCCCGAGTCTGCGTCCACCTACCACCATCTCTCCTACCCTTCCCCCAGCTGTAACCCCCTCCCTCTATTTATTTCTGGGCTTCCCTCCCTCTCCCTAGTTCTGACAAAGGGTTTTGGCTCCTTGGATGCTGTCTGACCTGCTGTGCTTTTCCAGCCTCTCACCTGTACACTCTGGCTTCCAGCATCTGCAGTCCTCCTGTCTAGGCAGCCATCTGCTGGCACCAGGATGGGGTTTTGGAGAATAGAAGGAGGTTACAAGGTGTTGGGAAAGAGACAGGGAGGCTACAAAGGAGGAATGGGAGGGAGTCGAAGGTCGCAAGGTGGGGGCAGGGAGGAATGTAGGCTTCAAGGTAGTGGGAG